GTTATAGTCTTCGTACTGTGTTTAAAGCAACAGGAACAATAAAACTGCTAACGAAATCAGATGGCAGGCGCATATCTCAGCATCTTTCTAGAAGCGACGTGACCTCAGGCCAGAGGCTTAGATTCCCTTATCTGTAAAATGAGGAAGATGCTATCTTCCTCCTTCGTGACTATCTACTTAGGGAACCCGACAAAAGCATGTGGTATGCCCTCACTCAACCAAGTAGTTCTAGACTTCTGATTCTGATCTACGCTGGCACTCACTGCATTCCCTGAGCAGGTTGGGGGTGGTGTGCTGTGTTCTGCCCAGTGCTAGACTGGGGAGGTGGTCCAGGGTTACTCTTCCTGCCCCAGAGATGGACCGAGGCTCTTGGAGCGGCAGCTCTCGTGTGGGAGTCTCCTCTTGGTTGGGTAATAATGACAGCTTTCTGTTGTATGAGTTGCCCTTGAAGTCTGAACTCACGAAAGTGTCTGAGGAATGGTAATGAGAGAGCATGAAACCAGAATTTTCTCACCGTGAGTTTCCTGAGAACCACACTGATGTTGTTATCTCCCGACTTGGGCTAGAGGAAGCAGGCCTGAGCCCCGTGAGTGATGAGAGGGTGTGGAGACCCACAAGGCCTGTTATTTGCTCATTTGGGAAGAGACAAAAGTGTTGTTTAAGCTGTGGAGGGGAAAAAAAAAAATCACATAACATCCTTTAAGAAGCTTGAAGCATAATACCTATGGACAATGAACAATGTCTCTCTGTCGCAGTGATGGAATAAGAAATTATTTTTTCACTGCGGAACACTTGAGCAAGGCTTTACCAGAGGAAGTTGCTAAAGTTCATTGAGTTAGGAGGGACCTTTGATATTTCAGCTAGTTTTTTGTTTAAGTGGTAGGAGCCACAGAAGCAGCACCGGTGAGTTTTGAATAGGGTGATAGGCCTGCCCAGAGGTAGAAGGCAATGTTGATAGTTTCATTTCATTTTTTAGGTCTGTCTTTTTTCCTTCCTCTTTCTTTCTTTCTTTCTTTCTTTCTTTCTTTCTTTCTTTCTTTCTTTCTTTCTTTCTTTCTTTCTTTCTTTCTTTCTTTCTTTCTTTCTTTCCTTCCTTCCTTCCTTCCTTCCTTCCTTCCTTCCTTCCTTCCTTCCTTCCTTCCTTCCTTCCTTCCTTCCTTCCTTCCTTCCTTCTTTCTTTCTTTCTTTCTTTCTTTCTTTCTTTCAGATGGGTTGAGGTCTCTGGCTTGTCATGCAGCCTTTGCTAGATACTAGGTTTTGTACAAATAAGAAACCCAAAAGGTGTTTCTTATGTATATAGTTAAGGGGATATATAGGATAGTTTTCATTGAAATAGCAATTTTAAATTTAATTATAATAATTTCTATAATAATCACTGAGACTTACTTTAGGAATGTAATGAGAAGTTCTTGTAAGCAGTTCCTGGGACTATAGACAATATGCCATGTATTTGGTCTTTCTGTCTATATGTCTGTCTTCCTTCTTCCCTTCCTTTCCCTCCTTCCCTCCCTCCCTCTCTTCTTCCCTCCTTCTCTCCCTCCCTAAAAACAAACTAACAAAAGAAATTCCTTGAGAGTCCTGAGCCAGGTGCTCAGCATGGAGACGTGGCCTCAGTCGTTGACAAGACTTCCCAGGGGTAGAGCTCACTTGGACATGTGCCCTGTGCCCTGTGCTGCTGGCCATTTCCAGCAGCAAGAAGTGAGGCCTCAGGAAGCAACCTGTGGGGGAGAAGCTCTCGCTCCGTCATGGCTTGTGGCCACCACAACAAGTCTCTGCATTCCTGGAAGTGGCTGTGATGGGTTGTGACAATATTCTTTCTTAAAGGGTATCATTAAGTGGCTGCAAGATCCCTTCCTGCCTTTCTGGGCATCATCAGTGCTTCTCCTGGGAATGGGCACTTCATCAGAGGTGCTAAGACTTCAGGGATCATTCTATGATGAGCATCTTAAAAAAATTGAGGGAAGGAGAGGGAGAGCGAGAGAGAAACATTGATGTGAGAGGAAAACATCGATCGCTGCCTTCCACACACCCAGCTACCAGGGATGGAGCTGTAAACCTGGGCATGTGCCCGAACTGGCAGCTTTTTGGAGCATGGGATGACGCCCAGCCAAATGAGCCACGTGGCTAGTCGATGAGAAACTTTGATCTGGGAATTTTCCTTTTATGACGTAGGAACGATCCTTAGGCGATCTCAGCATCCCAGCGGCACTTTTGTCTTCAGTCAGCTCTTGACTTGTATAGGAAGCAGCTTTTGCAACACGAGTTTCTGTCTAGTGTTTACTTGGGTGGCCATGCTTGACTTTGAATATATTTGTTAGGTTTTGGATTCTTTAACCTTTCCTTACTAGAAGGCAAAAAAGCAAACAAACAAAGAAGCAAACAAAGAAAAAAAAGAAAAAAAGAAAAAAAAGGCAATACTTATTATTATTATTATTTTTAAAACAAGTGGCTTCCTTTTATTAAGAAGATTACAGGTTATGGGACAGCTTGGTTGCAGGAAATGGAGTCATGCCAAAGGACACTGGAAATAGTTTGAAGGCATCCCCGGTGGTCAAATTTGGGACAATCTGAACATGGAAAAGAAGGATGGCAATTGATTATTACACAAGGAAAAAAAAGTGTATGGAGGAGTAGAGGGGCGGAGAAGGAATGATAGAATTAGAATAAGTGCTATTTTGCAGCCCCAAATGGAATAATGGAGGCAAGAATCAACGAATGCTATAAATCCACATGAAAAATAATTAGGAAATAGGACAGCCACCTGGTTCCAAATCATCACCCCAGGTGCTTTTGTTTGTTTTGTTTTGTTTTTTCTTTTTACTGATATAAAGGGGGACATGTCCCTTTACCACAGAGATGTGGCCGTATCCATCTAAACCAAGCAATCCAGCGTGGCATCAGTCATAACGGGATAGCATAGCATTCCCTGTGTCCTGATGAGAGGGAAGAGGAAGTTCACAGTATGAGAGTATTTCTGCCAAAAAGTGTTCAACGTGTGTCTAGACTTAGCTTTTGGCCCACAGGAAATACAAGGGATGGATGAACAGATTTTAATAATAAGACTGAAGAAGGATGTCGTCGATTCAGGGTGATCAAATTTGAGGAATGCCTGGAAAAGCGAGAGAGTACCAGTGACCTCTTCCAGACCCAGCACATGTTTGTGGGATGCAATAGCATCGAACTAACTACGGGGCGAGTCAGGGGAAGGCTGGTTCTGGACAGAAGGGAAGGCCCGTTGTAAAGTCCTCGTTCGTGTATGCCTACCACAGTGGCTGCATTTCACGTATACTGCATATAGTTTGCTTTCAGTGCTATGACTTGCTGAACGAAGGGCCGGAGTGCTGGGTGGAAGTCACGGTGGTCTTTCCCACACGGGGGACGGCTGGCTTGGGCGGGGACTCTTCGGGAGGGGCAGGGGCCATTACATTTGCTCCTGGGTGAGCGCTGAGTCGGCCACTTAATTATGTCAACAGAGCAGTTGCAGAGGCCGCCAGAGAGTCATTATTGTCCGTCTTGGCTGAATGCACGGCTTTTAATCTGTGAGAAGCGCTTCTGTGTGGGAGGGCTCCGTGCAGAGCCACGCGGGTCCTGCAGGTCCCCCCTGCATGTTTCAGAGAGAGCAGCTCCATTGTTTTTGAAGTCTTTCTCATTCTCTCTCTCTCTCTCTCTCTCTCTCTCTCTCTCTCTCTCTCTCTCTCTCTCTCTCTCTCTCTCTCTCCCTCCCTTCCTCCCTCTTCTTCCCTCTCCTTCCCTCTCCCTCCCTCACCCTCTCCCTCTCCCTCTCCCTCTTTCTCTGATTACCTTTTCAATCCTCTATTTCCTTTTGCAGCAAAATTTGAGAGTCTGTATTTCCACTTTTTCTCTTCCCATTGTCTCCTGGACCTGCTGCCATCCACCGCTCCTCCCCATCCCCACATGGCACCTGCTTTTGTCTCGGGAGACTGGGGCCTTCACACTGCCCGGCTCCGTATCCAGCGTGGGGGCCGAAATCTTATCTGACCGCCAGTGGCTGTTGGCCCAGTCCATCACCTCTTCCTAGAAACACGCTCTTTCCTTGGCTTCAGGGTGGACTGGTCCCCGGGCAGGTCCCCTTTCTCCCTGGTTGCTCAGCTCACCTTCGTCCTCATCTCCTGGCCTCCTAGGCTTACCCGGCCCCAAGCCCTCTCCTCTCTGCCTTCTCCCAGGCTGTCAGACAACATCATGGTGAAAACCACGGTTGTGTACACAGAGTGTACTCCAAAATCCTAGCTTTATTTCTATTTTTAAAAAATACGTTTTCAGCCGAAACCGGTTTGGCTCAGTGGTAGAGTGTCGGTCTGCGGACTGAAAGGTCCCGGGTTCAATTCCGGTCAAGGGCATGTACATTGGTTGCGGGTACATCCCCAGTGGGGGATATGCAGGAGGCAGCTGGTCGATGATTCTCTCTCATCGATGTTTCTAGCTATCTCTTTCCTTTCCTCTCTATGAAAAATCAATAAAATATATTTAAAAAATATGTTTTTATTGATTTTAGAGAGAAAGGGAGAGGGAGAAAGAGACATCAGTGCTGAGAGAGAATCATCATGCATGCCCTCTCCTTGGGATCAAGCCACAATCCGGGCGTGTGCCCTTGACCAAGAATTGAACCGAGACCTCCTGGTTCATAGGTTGACACTCAACCACTGAGCCCGTGGGCTGGGCCTGGCTTTAGTTTTTCTATCGCACTTATCACCACATGAAAAGAAAAACTGACGTTTTTTGTTGCTGAGTTTGTTCTGGTCTGTCTGCGTAGTACGTGGGTTTCACCAGGACAGACGTCTCGTCTGCCTTGGTCCCAGCACGTCCCCTGTGCCCAGGAGGGGGGGATGGGCTGCTGGGTCAGTCCTGCTGCAGGGGCCACCGGGCAGCAGCCTCAGGGACGGAGGGCTTCCCCTCCCGGTCGCTTTTTACGGCATCCGGGTGTGACCGAGGGCAGGCAGTGTGTGCTTCACGGCATACTAATCGCTGCTTCTGTCCCTCAGTTTCTCTGTTTGAAGAACATTCGGACCTTCCTCTCGGCCTGCTGCGAGACGTTTGGGATGAGGAAGAGCGAGCTCTTCGAGGCTTTTGACCTGTTCGATGTCCGGGACTTTGGAAAGGTAACGCTGCGTTTTATATTCTCATGTATTTTTTTTTAATTGGAGAACCTTTGATCAAATACTTGTTTCTTGTTGAAATAGGACATGTGACTTAAGTAGCCTACATATCTCAATTATTTAGTCGAATTTCACATTGGTGGCTGAACCAATATCTATTATCTATCTATCTATCTATCTATCTATCTAATCTATCTCAGTAGCACTGGTCTCAGTGACATTAGAATTGTTGCCTATTTCAAGCAGTGTAAGAGGAACCTTTGGCAGAGGCCAATAACCATTTAACATCCTTTAGAGTTGGGGGGGCCCTCATGTCTGAGGACCAGCATTGTTTCCCTCCAGTCCTCGATATGCCCCAAAGACTCCCCATTTTTGGAAGTTGGGAATGTTCTGTTGCCCCTCTCTATTTGACTTGGGTGGGGGACTTGGGGAGAGGAGGACACGGATCACTGAAATGTTTGAGGTTGTGAAATAACTCTCTTACTAACAGCTATTTCCAAGGACATTTGTCACGTGGGAATATGTTAACGTTATAGTTCTCGTGTGTGCTCCAAACACCTGTGTGTACTCGGTGACTGGAATCGCCCTTTCAAAAGGGATGGTCACTTATTTTGAAGTCTTTGGGCATAAGGTTACACTTCTTACGTGTAAGAAGCCATAAAAGAGGTAATGACGTGAGTTCCCAATGCCCCCATCCCCCGATTCCAGTCCTCCTGTGAGCTCTGACACTCCCCCACTCCAAACCCCCCCAAAGCCCCACATGCATCCCAACAGGACGAGGGGCAACCTGTGCTGGTGTCCCACTCCCTGCGTGTCTCCCGGGGACCCCGCCTGGCCTCCGGTCACAGGAAAATGCTCCAAACCCAGGGCTCCTCGGCGTGGCTCGTGGCGGGTGCAGGTGCCTTGGGGACCGCCCTGGGCCTGGCTGGGAAGATCCTCGTTGGCTAGTGCCCACGGATCAGCCACGAAGACAGTTCCTGTCTGTTTTTACAACCCAGGATGAAGCGTTTGACATGTAAATCTCTCTTCTTTCAATTATCTGTTTGAACTCCCACTCTTGTTAGAAGTTTGATGTTTCTCCCTCGGAGTATTTTCCATCCTGAATTACTCAAGAGTCTCCGGGGTGTCTGTGGTCCACGGGCCCTAATCAGCCTCACTGCCAAGCACCACGCGGCACTCCGTCTTCAGCCGTGGCCTGTCATTCGGGGTCCTGCGTGGTTCCGTGGACGGCTCTGACACCTCCAGCCTTCTGCCCCCGCCCCCAGCACTTTAGTTAGCCCCCATGGTGACCCCCAGCTCCGTGGTGAGTTCTCTTCAGGGGCCCCCGGGTTGCTTTCCTGCCAGCACACCTGAGGCAGGGTCTCCTTGTTATTAATCGGCTGCCTCCTGCACACCCCCTGCTGGGGATCCAGCCTGCAACCCAGACATGTGCCCTTGACTGGAATCGAACCCAGGTCCCTTCTGTCCACAGGCTGATGCTCTTTCCACTGAGTCAAACCGGCTAGGGCGGGGGTCTCCTCATTTGGCTTCTGTGGAAGTACCGACACCCACTCCCCCGCAGCATTGGGGACCTCTGGTCTCCTTCCTCCCAGAAGGCCCGGACTTCCCTGCCCATCAGCCAACTGCCAGCCTGCAGCGGCCCAGCCCTCCAGGGTCCCCAGGAGACCACCTCTGTCCGCCCACAAAGGCCCCCTTCACGCTCTCCCCCTCGGCGGGGAGGGGGCCTGTCTGTATTTACATAACTGAGAGCTCTCCAGTGATTCCTTCCCGACAAAGAGAGCTTGGTCCAAGGCCTCCTTTGTGTCTATTTAGACGGAGAAAGGGCAACGGCCTCTGGCCTTCCTTCCCCAAGAACCAGGCGTCTGGACGGCTGACACCATGGCGGCATCGTTGGCAGGATCCTCCTTTGTGTTTGCACAGCGAGGCCTTCTGAGGAACCTCTCCCTCTCTTTCTGTCACTGTCTTCGCTGCTATATTTCACCCGGGGAGTCAATGCCAGGCCGCTTTTCCCATTCGCACCGCGTCTCACAGAACCCTCGTGCCCGAGCCACGCACGGGTCCTTCTTCTCACGCTGGTGATGATTCAAGTTCACGTTGGGTCTGCTCTCTAGTGGTTTTTTGAGCCAGTTCACAAAACCCTTCACTGTTTTCGAGCCTTAATACAGTTGAAAACCTCAAGAAGGGCGTTGCCCAAGGAACCCCATTGTCTTGAGAAATATGAATGGGACGCCTGGGAAAAAGTATCCTTGTTCACATGAGTTGGGTAAACGTGCAGGCCGTGTCCTCCCGCTGTGGAAGGGGCATGGCACGCTAAAGGCACTGACAAGTCCTGCTTCTGAGACTGAAGCAGTGTGGTTGCAAACTGTGCAGCCCATTGCCAGAGCAGTGGCAAGAGGGGCCCAGAGTGAGCTCTCGTTAGGGTTGGATGTGACCTGTGAAAGGGAAGGAGAGAAAACAAGAGGAAGGAACGGAGCAGGGGCAACTTAGCGCACTTCTCCCCCCTTTTAAATGAATATAAGAAAAACCCAATGACATTTACACTCACTTCCTGTAGATATGTTTTGCATCCCAGTCAGTATTTTATGTCTCATTTTCCCCCAAAGGTTTTTACTATATTTGTCCATTCTTAATTTTCCCCGTATTTCATTTTTGGTGTTTTTGACACTTGCTGATTTTCAGGGGGAGACTTGGTCTCTCTGGAACACTTAAAAGCTTTTCTGGGGGATGTGTGTGTGTGTGTGTGTGTGTGTGTGAGATTATTTCTTTTAAAAATGGAAATATTGATTGTTTTGTGCTAGGAAACTTTTTAGGAACAGGTTTCTGTGTTTTTGAGGTTACGCCAAACACATGCTGCTTAGCACACCCGTTCTTCCATCTCAGCTGTGTTCAGAGGCCCTCAGCCCTATCCAGCCCTTTTAGTGTAGCTTACCCAGGGCACATGCATACGGGGTTCACGGAGTCTCAGCTGCTGTCCCTCGGGGATGAATGTGATGGTTGAGAAGTCCCCAGGGGGCTGGGTTGACTCCGTTAGGTGGCAGCACAGTGGCCCATGACTCGTCTGTCCAACAGCGGTGATGGGAACCCTCGGCCTTCAGGCCTTCAGCTGTTATGCATGCGTATTTCCTATCCACGGGCTCCTGTGGAAAGGAGGGTGGTGTTTTCCGTGTTTACTCGCCCTGTTATCTTTTGAATGGCTTATGCACATCTGTTGGGGCCTGGGAGCCCTGGCACTTGCCCAGTGGGCAGAATGGAAGTGGGAGGGGCAGGACTGGATGGAGCAGCAGGAAGCCAGTCTCAGGAGCGCTTTGAGCACCAGGCAGCTGCAGGAAACAGTCTTGGCAGCGGCTGCAGCGGTGGGTCAGCCATGCACGCTTCCTCCGGAGAGATGCCGGCTTCTGAGTCACTTGTTTTCTGACTGCAGCCCCCGTGTCTTTGGAGGACTGCAGTGGAGACACTGGGTTGGTTCTGGATCTTCCTCTGCTTAGACGGCCTCTGGGGCATGAAAGATCCCACTGAATCGGTGTGTTTTAGGACTAACGGTGTCAGGACCAGCTGGTGGATAGGGCCGTCAAAGTCATTAGGTTAGAACCATGGTCGGCAAACCGCGGCTCGCGAGCCACGTGCGGCTCTTTGGCCCTGTGAGTGTGGCTCTTCCACAAAACACAACGGCCTGGGAGAGTCTATGTTGAAGAAGTGGCGTTAGAAGAAGTTTAAGTTTAAAAAATGTGGCTCTCCAAAGAAATTTCAGTCGTTGTACTGTTGGTATTTGGCCCTGTGGACTAATGAGTTTGCCGACCACTAGGTTAGAATGAATGGGTGGCACTTACATTTTCCAGGTGTTCTCCTGGGAACTGTGTGCACCCAGCTTCACACGGAATGTGCTGGATGACCCCAGGCCTCTGCGTTCCCTCGCTGGTCTCCTCCTGTGTGTCTGTGCAAAGGAGCTGAGGGGGGTGGGTGCTTGCTGCTTCTGAGTGGGCAGATGCCTTACAGATCATTTCTGCTCTGTAGCTGCTTCTCAGAATGCGTCTCAGAATGATCACCCTGGAGTGGTTGTGTGAGGGTAGGGTCTACCACTGTTAGCGGTCAAGTCTAGGTTAGGTTTTTTTGTGTGTGTTAATCCTCACCAGAGGATATTTTTCCATTAATTTTTTAAAGAGAGAGTGGAAGGGAGGGGGAGAAACAGAGAGAAACATCGATGTAAGGAGACGCATCTATTGGTTGCCTCCCATATGTGCCCTGATCAGGCCTGGGGATTGAGCCTGCAACCGAGGTATGTACCCTTGACTGGAATCGAACCCGAGATACTTCAGTCCACAGGCCGAAGCTTCATCCACAGAGCAACTGGGCAGGTCAAGTTTTGAAGACGATTGATAGCACTGGGAGTGGGTTGGGTAAAGTCACAAAAATGCACTGACGGCCAGATCCAGGTGGGAACGAACTCTGCGTCTGCCCCTGATGTCCGTGAAGCCTCACGTCGCTTTAGCGAAACCACTGCTGACGGTTTTCTAGTGGCCTTTAGGTTTTCGGGAGGAAGCAGCAGAAAAACATGAACTTACTGACTGTCAGATGATAAAGTACAATTTCTCAGAGAGCTAGTCAAGTACACTTTCATGGCATTGTAGACAGTGAAACTGCTCTAGAAGGGGGATGGTATTAACGAGCATTGCTTTTTCAAAAATGTTGTTTTCCCTTGGAATTTGGCCAGTAGACTTCCCCAAGATTTTCATAAGTAAGTAGACGTTTTGGTAGATAAATAAAGCAATCCAGTATACACACCATCTTTTCTACACTGTTCTGGGCTCCCAGTTGGACTCCCTTCTATAATACTTGAAAGATTCTGAGTGATGGCACAGAATTTTCCTCTGCAGCAACAGTCCCGATTAGTGGATGGCGAATTATTTAGAAAATCATCGCTAATCTATTTTTCTACCCATTGGCCCTGGAACAGCATAGAATTAATTCATAACTCTCCTATGGGACAATCCCTCAAACACACGAAG